GATAGGTACAATATTTTGAAGATGGGGATGACATCTGAACCTCTCCTGACAGTGCCTGATGTTTCTAAAAGTTCATTTCTTTCCCCAAGGTGTAAATTCTAATACTGTTTTTAGCAACCTTTGTTCCTTGTACTGCTCAAATAGACATCATCCATTACTTCTACTTCAGTTGTTAATTCCCTAGTTATGCCTAAAGGGAATGTTTAAAAAGAAAATTTCTGTGTAACTGGCTAGTCTGCAGAAATCATATCTCTTTCAGGATGGTTTGGGTTTGGTTTTTGGTTTTGGTTTAGTTTTTCTTGCAGACTGAAGAATATAGGAATGAGATCTAGGCATCTCAGCTTTGCTAGTACTGACTCTGACAGCCAACAGCCCTGTGTTCCAACAGTGACTTCAGGATTGTTAATAAATGAGCCAGCAGTCCTGCATGTTGCCATCTTAATGAGACCATATATTAATCAATGATCTTTAACTGTTCATGAAGTACTCATTAACCTGTTTTTCTCTTGTGGCTAATAGCCATTTTTAAAATGTCCTAAAGTGAATACTAATACATACATTGACACTTAACCTGCAAATGCACCTTCTTGTTTGATAGACTAGTATTTAAAACAGCTGAAATTTGGACATTTCCCACATACCTTGCTTTTGGGAAACACAGTCATCTGCCTGGAACTTAGATTTCAGTCCAGCCAAAATGTTTGTAAGATTCCTTAGTCTGATCTCCCTTTTCTGGCATTATCAAGGACAGGTCTTGACTTCTGTGTGATATGAAATGCTGTGAAACCACAGTGAAATCTTTACTGCCTCAGGAAGCAAATGTGAATTATGTTGGGGTATCAGCTGAATGGATCAAGCTTAGATGGTTTGACCTGGTCTAGAAGGATGTGCCTTCTAAAACATTTTGAAGTAATTTGAAGGTAAGTTTGTATATGAGCAGGTAAGAGTTGTTATTATTATTGTTACCATAGTTATTTTTTAACTGACTTTGAGCAGAGAATGTGCATAGGGAGTTATCCTATGATTGTTAATTTTGACAACGTCCCAGGAAAAGTGTTGTCCCAGGATTCCAGCCCTCCTCTGGCTGCCTACAGACTCTCCCTGAAGACATCTAGATATGCTCTCCTTAGAAGGGTCTCCTGTTGGACATATCCTGACTCATTAGGCAACTTCTTTGGAGTCAGCTCTTCTCCAAATAAAGGTGGGTAGGTACATGTCATTCTGTTTCAACAGAAACTTTTGTTTGTTAATTATTTTTTTATTATTTTTAGGAACTTGTTGATGTAGTGCCTTGGAGTGTCTGTGGTAAGTCATGGTGATGCAGAGTGGTTGGTGCAGGACTGTGGCAGGGCAGCTCACGACTGACAGCTGCTGGTGAATAAGAGAGCTACCTGGAGACCTCCCCTGACTGCAGGCCAGCTTTGACAGAGAAAGTGGGAAGTGGAAGGTGACAAGCAGAACTAACTGAGTAATCCAGCTGTCTTTCAGTGACATGCCTGTTTCTGACACTCATTTGACACAGGTCAGTTTTGAAGTCCAGGTGAATTAGGTGAAATTCTGCAAATCCAAACTTCATTGATTGCAATTTTATGGGTTGAGTACCCTAAAAAAATCACAGTCAGAAGATCAATAGATCTGTGATGCTAAAGAAAAGCAAGGAAAATAAATAGACTGTTTTCAGGCATGCTTTTCTTGGGAGGCTGAGATAAAGTGAAACAGTTTTAAGGGTGATTAAGAGGCTGGAAATTACTTCAGAGTACAGAACTTAAGGGTATCATCAACAGTTGGAACTGAGCAGCAAGTAGTAGTGTTAAAATGGAAGGAATAATTGTAATCCTAGTAACAGCTTAGAGGAGTAACCGTAATCTCCAATTACACATAGAGCAATTTCCCAACACTTGTCATGGTCTATGAGTTGTCAAAAATCTGGAAATCCAGATGGATTCTTTCTTTCTCTTAAGGTTAGGAAACAGGCATCTTAGGGTAGCGACTGTGAACAGTGAATCCCAACAGAAAACCCATACGTGGAAGCTACTACTCCCTTGTCAGCATATTTGCTTCCCTTGACAGCATCAGTAAATACATGCAGAGGCTGTAGATGCTCTATGGCTTTGCTTTGATAGTCACCTGACACACTAGCAGTGTTTGCATTTGGAAGTGAGTGCCTCGAGGAATTGGAGATACTAAACACCAGAGCTCCTGACACACTGTTCCTCTCCCGAGTGTCTGGCTCATCAAGGAAAGCCCAGGGGGTTTATTTTTAGGTCTAAGCTGTATAGTGATACCTGTTGGAGGTAGCATAATGAAAGTCCAGGCTACCTGGTAGAATTTCTTCCCTTGTTTCCATGACTTTTGCCAATCAAACTATTAAGCTTCTCTCACACCCTGAAATCATGGTCCCTAACTTGTTGCTAGGACTCCAGATTCCCTTTTTGTCTGCATTTTAGGTAGCTGGGAGAGGCGTTCGGCTTTTTACTGTACTGGCATCAAGAGACACAAGACCAGTGTTTTCAGTTTATACCTTCACCTAAGTACTTGAGGTTTTGCTTCAGTGAGAAATTGGATTCTTTGCTTTGTTTATCAGCTTCTGATTAGGATTGCATAGGGCAGTTCTCCTGGGCAGTCTCATCAGTCTGGTCTCATCAGTCTGGTCTGCTGTTCAGATGAATCCCTGCCCTTCTCAACCACTCTGCCAAACCCCACATCTCAAATTTGTTGGGTACTGGAAGAAAAAATTCTTTCTAATCCTTCTTTAATATGAACAGTGAGATGATTAAAATTTCTTGCATATGTCTATTAGAGGCTTGTCTTTGTCCTTAAAGATAAATCCCAAACCCTTCCCTGACCCAAATGAAAGCAGTTCAAAGGAGATAAAAATCATGAACAGCATCAGAAATAGCATATTGATAATCTGAGGTGTGTATAGAAAAGTCCCACAGCAAGAATTCCTAAGTGTTGTCTGTTTAAATACATATTTAAATATATTTAAAGTGTGTGTCCCAAGAAGCCACTAGATGAAAGGCACTTTGCTGGGTGCCTATGTGCATGAACACCTTTAAAAAAACTCACAGTAGTCTATGATCTGAGCTACTGATGAGATTGACATTTGTGAGAGAGGCAGGGATTCATCTCATTCCACCTGAACTTCCTGATCTGGCCTGACCCGAGACGAGGACATCACACCTCTCTGCCTGCATGATCTCCTCCAGTCCATTAGTAAACTAGTTTGAAATGTAATGGGAAGGAGGTACAGATCCAAGGAAATCTTTAACTTGATGATGCTCATCAGTAGGAGTAATCTATTCACACAGAAGCATCCCAAGTGGTATTGATGTGCTATTTTTTCAAGGCTGTCCTTAAAAGCAAACTGTTTAATACTGTAAGCTATTAATACACATAATTTATAAAAAATCTCACTGCCAAGGACAGGTGTTTGACCTTTTAATAATTTGCAAAAGTTTTCATGATGTGGGACAACTCATATTCTCTGTATGTGTCTTTCAGTTTAACATCTTATGGATTTAAAATTACCTTGGATTATTCCTTCCAGCAGGTTATACCCGTGAGACATACTGTCAGGGCTAGCTGGCATGTTGCAGTTCTGCAGGCAAAACAAGAACTGCACAGATAACTGCAAAAAAAGACACTGACTCCCTCAAAACTGTACTACAGGCAACTTTAGCACCCCCTGATGTTTTCCAACGACAACTTGCATCTCTAGCACCACTAAAACACACCCTGAAGAATGGATGCACATATGTGAAATATGTAAACCTCTTGCCATCACCTTTTTTAGCAGACAGAAAAGTGGTGTCCCACTTTGTGGCTTTGGTAATACAGGTGGCTGGTCAGCAGGTCCACCAGAGTGCTGCTGCTGGGCTCAGCAGCACTGCACAACACACTCTGCAGCTTGGGCTCCTGTCCAAAGGCCCCAGGGTTGGGGTTCTCACCCACACCCACAGCTGGAGGCCTTAGCTCAGTCAGTGCCCAATGGGATGCTGGAGCAGCACACACAGCACGGGCAGGGAGCAAATTCCTGGCACTGGAGGAATAAGATTGACAGCAACTGAGCGAGCCTTGCTTGTAAAATGGTCCTGAAAGGTGCCCTGGAATAAAACTGTTTAAATAGAGGAAAGAAGCTGAGTCCCTGGAGTTGCTCAGCTACTTTTTATTGCTGCAGATGCTGCTGGCAGCCTCCTTCACTGGGAGACCTATCCAAAGTGGTTGAGCTCAAAGTGTATCTTGGCAGGGGACCTGGCACCTCAGTGTACCTTCAGACAACCCAAAGGCCCCCTAGATCCTTCTGCCTCCACAATGGTCACAGACACCTTTTTCCTCTGGCCTTTGTATTTGGTTCCTGCTGCTTGAAAGTATTTTAAAATGGCAACCCCTCAGAAAAGTTCACCTGCAGCAGTAGGGTTTGAGCATGAAGGTAAGTGAAAAGAGACTGGCTGTTTCACACTGGCACACACATGCAGAGTATGTAGACGGAAGGCAGTATTCTGGGAGGGTCAAACTTGAGTGTGTCAAGTGTGCACCAGGTTGGGGACCTGTGTGGCTGATAGGACAGTTTCAAAGCTGCTTTTGGAACTGGGGAGCGTGCTGGGTTGGTTGAGGTGAGCACCAGGGCACAGTGATGGATGTCTGAGGATTCTGTTTTTCTTACCCTAAAAGCACTGACAGTCTCTAAACCCAGTCCTAATGGTGTGGGAACCCATCTTCTGTGTAATCAAATTCAAGCTGGTGCCCTCATGCACATGAATGCCACTCGGTAGGAAGGGAGCCCTGTGGGGAAGGAGTGTCCCATTTCGAAAACCAAACTGCAGCCCCAGTGTTATTTCCTCACAGCTTCAAGTTGGCATGTAAGTCAATAAAAATCCGTCAGCTCACATCCTTCCCAGAAATGCCAGTCAAAACCCAAGCAGCTATTCACCCAAAGTACCAATTTTATAGTTCTGTGTGTGTGTCTATAATCTATTTACCAGCATTCCTATTTCAGTATGTGCCTGTTAATAAGATTAGTAATTAAAAGGCTTGATAGGGAATTGGCAAGCGTAGCTCCTCCGCCTTTCCCTCCCCTCCAAGCTGGACTGACGTGGAGTGTGAGGCACGGTTGGCAGAATACCTGAGGGAGTGAAGGCAGGAGGCTCTGCTGAAACCTCTGCCTGCAAGAAGGCAATGGAGAAATCCCGACCCTTATGGGACAATCCCCTACAGTTTGTTTTTGCCTGCATTTCCTATGCCGTGGGGCTAGGAAATGTGTGGAGGTTTCCATACTTATGTCAGATGTACGGAGGAGGTAAGTGTGGTTTACATTTTCTTGCTTCCCTCGAGGAGGAGGGGGGCAAGCTTTAAGTCCAAAAGTATATTGTCCATGTTAATGCTCTGTCCACCCAGCAAGGTTCAGGACAGAGTAGGAGGTCTGGCTTTCTGTTGGTGTACAATCTGTTTTATTGTGGCTTTATTTTATGTATTCTTTAGCATTAGGTTTTTACCTGACAGCTGCCCCAATATACCTGTAAGTGCAGTGAAACAGTGGGAAGGTTCATGTTTTCTAAAAAAATGGAGGTAGAGTGGGAGATATAGATACACATAGTATTAATTTATTGTATTTTTGCCCCACTGAATCACTCTGAAGGTGTCAGAAACTGGTTCATGTTCTTGTACATTCATCTGTGGGGACTTGGAAAATACCGAGAAGAGGAGATGATTACACTCATTTAACTTAATGATCATCTGTATTATTTCAAGTACCTTTCATTAATATCTAGTCTTTTATACAAAGCCTTACTTCAGGAGATGATAACTTGGCTGCACATCTGCCTTGAAGTTGGCTGAAATGCCTTAATCAAGAGTTCCACAGCTAAAGCCTCCCAGGAACTTTTGAAAATGAGGAATAAATTGATTTGTCCTTCAAAAATAAATAAACCAACCAAAAAGACCCCCACTTTTGAAATCCTCTTTGAAAGTTTATCCTCCTCCTGGTTCAAACTGAAGGAAGATGATGTTTGTGGCATATACAAGCCACAGCCGTTCTTCCTTAGAAATCAAAAGGCAGTTAATTGGATTAATTAAAGACCAGTATTAATGATCTCCTCTAGTGTTCAGCTACCACTGTGTTTTACAGGCTCTCTGTAAGAAAACCAAGTGTTTTATTGCTTCTCATACTTCATCTGTTGTAATAATTTGGGACCTGTCTCAATCTTGCATTAAGGGACATGGTGAACATCTGCCTCATCTGCTTCTGGTCTCCTGCCTTTTCCTTTCAGGAAGAAACACTGAGATGTTAAACAGCTTTTTTTGCTTTTATGCTTGTTTTGTTAGCTTGTAGCTTACTTCTGAATGCACTTGTGGTGGTAGGAGCTGCTGTTTGAAAAGCCATCTTAGCACTGAGACTGCATCAGAGCTATCCTGTGGGATCAGGTCAGAAAAATCCAGATAATATGGTGGGTGAAGTGTCAGTAGAAGATAGATGCTGCAGTGGCTGATGCTTGGACAGTTCAGATTAATTTTGTGTGTATTCCTCTACACATGCTTTAAGGATAAAGACTTCATGTCTGACACCAAACTCTAGCACAGACTAAAATGCATTTCTGTACACAGTCAAACTGCGTGTGATCAACTCACTAGCAGCCACCATGGCAGATATCCTGAAGGACAGTGAAACTTGGACATTTTGGGGGCTTTGTGTCATTCTTTTAACCAGCCATCTGTATTGTAGTAGATGGTGAAAATTCTCTGAAATGTAACCAAAACTGGAATATTTGGTTAACCTGAATAAAAGATTAAATAATATTCTCTGCTCATTGCAGGGGCTTTGGACTAGATGATCTTTAAAAGGTGCCTTCCAGCTCAAACTATTCTATGATTCTGTGATACACCCAAGTATTTTCTGAAAAACATGTTTTATAAGGATGTCTTTCCATTATTTTTCTTCTCACCACTTATGTGAGGAAAGGCAGCTCTTTCTACTGTGAAATTAAAACTCCTGACAGGAGGTTTTGCTTTTCGTAATTGTTTTATTCACTGTCTTCTTAAAGATGATTCTGTGGCTTTCCAGGGGTTCACAAAAGCCACGCATACAGAACATCATTTCAGGAACTTAAAAGCTGGATATGCCAGGCATTTGGATTAGGGGGGACACCAGCTTGTTTGGCATCTTCCTTGTAGAAAAGCACAGAGCCAGTCCCTGTCGGCACAGCAGGGCAATAGGGCCCTTATCGCAAATGATAGTGAGTATTTGTAACCTGAGTATTTGCAGACTTTGTAACATGTCATTCTGTTCATCAGTAGTTTGCCGCCTCCTCCTCCTTCTGCTTTCCTGAAGAAGAGAGTGACCTGAGGGCAGGGGGGATTCAAACCTCTGGTGCAGTTCCTCTGTCCCTGAGCGGGCTGGGCCAGGCTCGAACGGGGCTGGGCTGGGTCTGCAGCGGAGCTGGCGCTCAGCAGCGCTCAGCCCTGGGCGAGGAACCCCTGAGCACCGGGCAGGAGCCAGCCCAGTGCCTTGAGCAGAGCCAGAGCACGCTCCTCCAGGGCACGTTTTGCCAGCTGCAGGTCTCTGGCCTGGGGGCTGGTTTCTGCAGACAGCGACACCGTAGGGAGCAACCGGTGTCAATGGGCAGGGAGTTGAGTAAAGCTCTGCTGATTCACAGCTGAGAGGGAGCTGGTTTATCGGCTGCCCAAAGTCACTTGTGTGAGACATTTTGGTTACACTCTTTGGGAAGAGTAGCACTAAGAGCAAGAGCTGTGTGCAAACAGGATGCAGAGCAAAGGGCAGAGGCTTAGCCCTGGCACTCCCAGCTGCGGGGGGACACTGGGGTGAAGAAATGCCTTCAGGCATTTTTTCTCCTTGCCAGGTGGCACAGACATGGCCAAACATGTGGCAGCGCTGCTGGGAGGGTGGAAAACCTTTGCAAGGGCCTGATGCTGATTCTGCTGTGGTACATGGCAGAACTCCCTCAGTGGCTGCAGGGGCAGCTCGCACCCCACCAGCACAGAGCGGCTGCAGGAGCTCTTAAACCTCCAACAGCTCCCTTGCAGCATAGGAAGTTATCTAACAGAGTAACAAAGGGGTTGTTAATAACAAGAGAGCTGGGAGGTGGGAAATTAATTCCCAGAATAAACCGGATTATTGCTCTGTGTTTATTTCCAGATCTTTGCTTCAGTTGCTGCACAGAGTTCATTCCTCCACGGCGCTGCACAGAGCCCATTGCAAGGAATGTTAATGCCACAGATTAAATCCTAAATAAGATATATTTACGTAAATATTTTGGCTTGCTGTAAAAAGGGAATCAGGGAAGCCTTCACAAAAATCCAGCTTTTAACTCAGTCAGCCGCTCTTTCTGAAGTGAGCCCCAGGTCGAATACAAGGATTTTATTTTTTTCCAACAGAAATTTAAGCCAAAGCATATCCTGGTTTCTGGGTGGGAAGGTCCTTTTCCTCTCCTCACTGTCAACCTCCGCATTCCTGCTGTTCATCTTCCACAGGAGCATCTCTGTGGCTCTCCATGTGGAGGGAAGCAGAGATGAGCAGCCCCATGCAGGAAGAGTCTCTACGCCTCTGTCCCAGGCTCTGCTCCCACAAGTGGGGCTCTGGGGGAAAAGCCTTCATTCATTTGTTGGGGCTTGTGGGCTCAACATGGGGATTTGGGAGCTTTTTAGTTTGGTTTTTTGGTTGTTTACTTTTTATTTTTAAGCAAGGCCAGACTTCAATATGTAACTCTGTTATATATTGAAACAGAAGTCTGTTTGACACAGACGTTGCTGTTACCTTCTCTTTGAGCACTTTGGCTGTGCGGCAGAACACCCCACAGTGAAGTAAATCTTTCCCTTGTCTTCTTCATCTCATTATCGTTTACAAGGTTTGGCGGGTGGTTGGTTACCCTTTAACAGCCCCAGCCCCCAGCATTGCTCAAACCTCCTGGATGTATCTGGGCAGTGCCAACCAACACAGTTTAACAGCAGAAATCCCAGCCCTGCCAAGTCCCTGCGGAAAATTCCCTGCGCCTGGGCAGTCAATGCCCACCAGCCTCTGGGACGCTGCCTGAAACCTCTGTGAGATGTCCTTCAGGATTGGGCTGTGCCCTCAGCATTCAAGGTACCTGGACAGGACCAGAACCCAGACCCAGCCAGTCTCTGGGACACTGACAGTGTGATTTGAACACAAACAGGGCAATGTGGTGTTCATCTTGCTGCTGATCTGCTGAAGGCTGACTGTTGGGTTTGTTCTCACAGGTGGCTTTTTGATCCCATACCTTATCATGCTGATTGCTGAGGGGATGCCACTGCTGTACTTGGAGCTGGCTGTGGGGCAGCGAATGCGGCAGGGCAGCATCGGTGCCTGGAAAATAATAAGCCCCTACCTCTGTGGTGTTGGTATGTTCTCAGTTTCCATCTTTATTTTCCACATGCAGGGAACATGGGTGATTTTAGATTGGAGAGCTATGTCTTTGAGAGAAGAGCCAGGTGGGAGCTCAGGTTTTACTGAGTCTCACCAGGCTGATGCATTTACCCGGTCCCTTGTTGGCCACTGGGGCCAGACCCCAGCTTGCAATGTTGGATCTGGACTCAGAGGAAGACTGCCAAAGTCATGGTGTGAAGGCCAGTGCTAAACCCAGCCCTTGAGGCTGCCTACACTGGGCTTTGACCGTGAAAGCACCTTCCCAATAAGCTCAACATGAGTGCTAAAATGGTGCCTTAATTTCCTACTGTTCCAGTCTACCATTTACCAATGTCCACTCTTAGCTACATTTTTGTTATTAAATTACTCTGAAAACCCAAGCTATCATTAATTTGCATAAGCACACATTTTATATTTAATGATACATTGAATATTCATTCCCCAGGGCCCAGAGTATCAAATCCAGTTCAGGACAGTCCTGGCAGGAGGAGGAGGCAATAACTACAGTGACAGGGACATGCCCTGTGTGCATGGCTGTGCAGGAAAAAAACCTCTCCTCTGTCAGCCATGGTGGTGCTGCTCTCACACCCCACAGATGTTACGGAGCCCTGGGAATTTTGGGGTTTTCAGCTGACCAAGTGTCTCCCTCCATATCCACAGGAGTTGCCAGTGTTGTCGTCTCCTTCTTCCTCTCCATGTACTACAACGTGATAAATGCCTGGGCCTTCTGGTACCTCTTCCACTCCTTCCAGGTGTGTGGGCTCCCAATGGCCCAGTTTGGCCCCACTGTGGCTGCAGAGGGTCATTGCATTGGTGCTGCATGTTGCATGGCACCATTGTCAGCTGGGAATGGGGAGGTGGAGGAGAGTCAAATGCTTCAGAAACCCAGGGCTTTGCTGGAGGGAAAAGTGAGGCAGTGATGTCCTCCTCCATGGTCTTCCCAGAGTCATTGGCCGTTATCTTTTCCTCACCATGGGATTCAGGTCAAGGCCAGGCTTGTGACGCTTTGGTCACATGTGCCTTGGTGCCAGGGTGTCCTGCATCCTGGGATGGACCTGTCTGATGGCAGGGCAGAGGCCTGGCCCCATGGTAGAGGCTTGGAGAGTGTCATCCCCAGGGGAGAGGGTTAAAGAGGCTCAGTCCGGTCACCCCCAAGGAATTGGGACAGAGCAGATCTGTCCTTGGGTAGGGGGTTCAGAAATGATCATCCCCAGGGGAAAGGATGAGAAAGTATCAGTCCTCGGGGAGAGGGTCATTCCCAAGGAACAGTGTCAAAAGAGATCATTCCCAGGGCAGAGGGTCCTCCCCAGCCCTGGGCAGCAGCGTGCAGAGAGGGGCAAGCCCGGGCAGAAAGTCGCCCTTGCCACCATCCTCCCTGCTGCCCGCTGTCAGCCCGGCTCTCCCTGCCCTGCCGGTCCGCACTCACCGCATGCCCCTTCCTGCCAGGACCCCCTGCCTTGGGCCACCTGCCCCCTCAACAGCAACCGCACGGGCTACGTGGAGGAGTGCGAGAAGACATCGTCCACGCAGTACTTCTGGTACCGGCAGACCCTGAACATCTCTCCGTCGCTGGAGGCCAGCGGGAGCGTGCAGTGGGAGCAGGCGCTGTGCCTGACGCTGGCCTGGCTCGTGGTTTACCTCTGCATCCTCCGCGGCACCGCCTCCACCGGCAAGGTGAGAGCGGGGCACAGCCCTGCCCAGCCCGGACACAGCGCGGACAGGCAGGGAGGAAGGAATGGCTGCTGTTCCTTGGGCTCACGGCATCTTCGCCGGAGCACCGAGCTCTGCTGCCCCTACTGCCCTGTCAAGTTGCAGCTGGAGCAGGATCCATCAAAACACTGAGTGATACTGAAAAAATAATCCGGAGAAGTCCTTTAAACACAGCCAGGTCTCTGCAAAAGTTGTCAGGCTGCTGGCCATGAGGAAAGCTGTCTGCCCCAGCAGAGCCGTGTCAGGAGACGTCTATTCCTTGGTCTTTGTAAGAAAAACAAGACATCTACTGGGCATTTTTTGCTTGCCTTTTATTTACAGCAGAAGTTATGAGGAAGCGGGGAGAAAAACCCCAGTGTCCTGGCTGAGCCTGCACTAAGCAGCAAACTGAAGGCTGTAATCCCCAAATCGTTTTAGCCAAATACAGAAAGCCAAGAGACTGTAAACTAGTAATAACCTCTTAAACTTGCTGCAACTGATTCAATTAAATTTTGATTCAATTTGATAAAATTCAAGTTTGATTTTGACCTTTTATTAGCTCTGCTTGCCTTCCTTGTACAGCAAATGATGAATGATCTTGGCCTAATGAGTTTTTGGTAGATAGTTGTGAATTGGTGTTACTCCACCAAATGAACTGAGTTTGTGAATGCTGCAAATATTTTAGATTTTTGTTTGATTTCCAGTCAAAGAGAAGATGCTTGGAACAGTAGCACAGGTCTTCAGTATTATTAAAAATTTGTTTCCCTAAAATGTAAATATAAAGTTAGATTTGTCTGATAATATTTCTTTAAGTACAGGATAACAAACAAAATAATGGAAATTATTTGTGTAAAGTGAGACTGACATAGCAGATTAGCTTTGCCTAATGTATTCTTTAGACCAAAGTCTTTACCCTCTTTCCCCAGGTTGTCTATGTGACAGCCTCTTTGCCATACTGTGTTCTCATCATATATCTCATCAGAGGATTAACACTTCATGGAGCTGTGAATGGGCTTGTCTACATGTTCACACCAAAGGTACAGAAAAACTGTATTAAATTTTTCAGGAAACGTTATCAGTTAATGAGCACCTAAGTTTTTAAAAGGTCTTGGTCCTCCTTTTTTTATCCTAAAATTTTTGCAGCAGTAGCATAGGTCTGGCAGCTGGATGGAAACCTCAGCTGGCAGTGACTGGAGGCTGCCATGGTGCCCATAAGCTGCTTGCTTTTTCCTGCAGAAAAAGAACTTCCCATTAGCATAACCTATTATTGGGCACAGAGCAGTAACCCTGCCCAAAACCACCCCTGACCTGTAATGAATGCACAAAGGGCCCCATCCCTGCCCTTGTCCCCATTCCTGCAGGCTGGAAGGGGCAGTGCTGGGCATTTTGTGGAACTTCATGGTCTTGCTCTCTCATCTGGCTTTTGCAGCTGGAGCAGCTGTCAAACCCCAAGACCTGGATCAGCGCTGCCACGCAGATCTTCTTCTCGCTGGGCCTTGGTTTCGGCAGCCTCATCGCCTTTGCCAGCTACAACGAGCCCAGCAACAACTGCCAGAGACACGCCATCATCGTGTCCCTCATCAACAGCACCACCTCCATATTTGCCAGCATTGTCACTTTCTCCATCTACGGCTTCAAGGCAACCTTTAACTATGAGAGCTGTATCAACAAGTAAGAGCCCACTGTTTCGCTGTTTTTCTGCTGTAAGTGGTTCTGGGCAGATGAGGGGGGAGGTAAATAAATAACAGCACGCAGCACTGCCAGCACTACCCCAAGACCAGAGCTGATACTGCTCTAATAAAGCTAAAGGAGCTATTCAAAGCAATGAAGCCTGAGATGAAAGGTCAGAGCGCTTTGCCTTTTGACACCCGGGTGCTGCTTCCAGGCACAGGCCTGGTCAAGAGGATGAGCTTGCCTGGGCAAGTCACGGAGGCACTTTTCCCTGTGTTCTTGCTCCAGGGAGTGTGGGGGAGCTGATTAATTAATGCAGTGATGTTCAGATCCCCCTTTTTAAGGCTAAGTCCTTAAGTTCCAGGAGCTCAGCCTCCTTGGCTGTGCTGCTCTGCAAGTGCCCAGCAGCCTGCAGGATTGTGTCCTGTAGCTGCAAGCTTGCGTGCAGTCCCTGGCGCAGGGCCCACGGCAGTTACACATTTGCTCATATTTTTAGAGCTTTCAATCTATCTGCTGATCAGAGAGGAAACCAAGCTGCTAGTCCTTGCTTGCTGCCAAAAGACTTTAAAGTTGGTGGGGTGTGGACGTGAGACCACAGGGCAAAGGGGAAGAGACACCAGCCAGCACTGGCCAGCACCCAAAATACCTGCCTGGGAGCAGCAGTGTGGGTGCAGGAGCTGCTCCCTCCAAGGCACAAATGAGCACAAGGTTGCCCGTGTCCCAGCTCTGTGCTGGAAGTGCTGCCCTCACTCAGGGAGACTGAAGCCCTGGAGCCAGCAAAGCATCCCCACAGAGCTGATGGAGAAAAGGGATTGAGGTGTCCTGGGCCTGAAAGCCATTAAATTCCTCTAATCCTTCCTAGGGTGATCCTGCTGCTGCTGAATGCTTTTGACCTGGAGGAAGGCTCTTTAACAGCAGACAACCTCAATGAGATGAAAGATTACCTCATGACCACCTACCCACAGGAGTATGCACAATTAGCACCACAGATTAAAAACTGCAGCTTGGAAGCTGAGCTAGACACGGTGAGTTGCCACTTTGTGGTGTCTCCTTTGCTCCCAATGAGCCCAGACACCCCACGTGAGCCCAGGAGCTGCCTGCCCAGGGCTGGGGATCATTTCTACCCCTCAGGGTGGGGCAGGGGCTCACCTGAGTCATTAGCATCCAGTGTCCATGCATGTGGGATAAACCGAAGACCTCACCTGCCTTTGCTGTGCAAAGCCACACCTCAGGTGTACCTTGTCATGACACAGGGTCACTCTCCTTTGTCATATGTCCTTTATCGAGCTGAGCAGCTGCCTGTAGCTCAGTTTCCTCCCCTTGTCTCTGTCAGGCTGTCCAGGGCACGGGACTGGCATTTATAGTCTATTCAGAAGCGATCAAAAACATGGAGGTGCCCCAGCTGTACTCTGTGCTCTACTTCTTCATGCTGCTGATGCTGGGCATTGGCAGCATGCTGGGGAACACGGCTGCCATCCTCACACCACTGACCGACAGCAAGGTCATTGCCTCCCGCTTTCCCAAGGAGGTGATCTCAGGTAAGCACCTGCCAGGCTGCAGCACAGGCCACACGCTGAGCACGTGGGTCTGGGGGCGAGAGTGCAGAAGCTGTGGTGTCCCACTGCTGTTGAGTGGAGTGGCACTCCACTCTCTGACCTCAGGTGGAACAGGGAATAGCAAATATGCTGCTGGAAGGGTTTGCCTGCCCTTGTGAAATCCCGCCCATCCTTTCCCTTGGGAGCTCCCAAAGCACCAGGCCAGCCGTGGCTGTGTATTTCCAGGCTTCCCGACACATCCCAGCTCCTTCAGACTCGTGTGTGCTGACTGGCGAAGCTCAAAAGGACACAAATGGTAACAGTTGCACTTGTGTAGCTGAGTAGCAATTAGCTGTTCAGTCACATCGCCAGTATCCCAGCTATGAAAACTGTGAACCACCTTAGTGTTCAAAAGAAATAGGTGCTTCTTTCTGGTCATGGAAATCAGTTGTCCTGCCTTAAAACCCATTTTGGCTGGATGCCCAGTGACAACAGCAGATGCTGCATGCATGTGTGAAAAGGCTGTAGCTAAGATTTGGTTTTCTTGGCCATGTCTGGGGGTGATGTCCTGTGACTTTGCAGGTCTAAGGAGCAGCAGTTAAACAAGAGTCACACGTGCAAAGGAGAAAGTCTTTTCCACAGGGGAAAAGAAATCCTCCTCAGAGAAAGCTGCTCAGGAGAAATCCCAGCAGCTTCTTAGTCACAAGTAGCATGATGTTTTCCCTAAACAAACTTCCAGGTGTAATGGCAGGATCCCTGTTCTATCCACACAGGTGTTGTGTGTTTCATGAATTGTATAATTGGCCTGATCTTCACCATGGAGGCTGGAAATTACTGGTTTGACATCTTCAACGACTACGCAGCCACCCTCTCCCTGCTGCTCATTGTGCTGGTGGAAACCATCGCTGTGTGTTACATCTATGGGATAAGGAGGTAAAAGCTGGAGCCCTGCTTCCTTCCCAGTGGGACAGCTAGGGGAGCAACCACGGGCCAAGAATAAAAATACTGCCTTGGGATAAATGTTTCTCCTGTGCTATAGGATCAGCAAGGGGGTGGGGGTCTCCCCTGCCCTGCAGACCCCTTACAGGGCCTTGGCTCAGAGCTGTGAGGGGCCAGGCTGGGCTGACAACGTCTCTGCTGGCAGGGGAGTACTAAAGAGCTGTACATACAGCTCTCTGCTCTTGTCTTTGGTGTCAGGAGCTACTTCTGCCAAAACTCTGCTCCTGCCATGAGAGGAATCCAGCATGAGCTGAGTGCTAGTAAGTCTGGTTTCAAAGGTGGTCGCCTCACACATTGTTTGTCTCCCAAGTCAATCCTTGTGGGTAAAAGGAAGCTCTGGAATCAGGAGGAGTTTTGAACAGCAAAAGTGTTTGAAAACAGATGAAAGGAAAGGTTTTGGCATTTGCTTTGTTAAGTCTGCCAGCACAGAAGGTGTCCAGGCACATACATGGGTATTTCCTCCCTAATGAGTTCAAAGCCTTCAAGTCAGATCCAGGTCTCCTGTGAGACTTTAGGTACCATTCCCAGTGTCAGTACTTCCTCAAAGACAGTCAGGTCTGAGAACACCCAGCTATGCAAATCCAGTTGTTTTCTCCACATTGCTTCAGCATCATTGCTTCTGTCAGCTGACACCAGTAACAGCCCGAGCTTACGCTTCAGGCAGAACTTTCTTGCTGCACCTATTTCTAGCTACTCTCTGTAACCTGGGATTCTTTTGGAAACCTCGCTGTCTTTTTTGATTCCCCCCTCACCATGATTCTGGTGAGCCAGCTTTTCAGATAGCAATTCTCTGCTCATTTGTGGTCAACTGTACTCTCTCATCTGACATACTCGATTCTGTAGGTGGTTTTTGAAGTAACTCAGAAGTATTGATTGAACAGCCAGTCTCAAAAATATGCATTTGGTTTTCTTCACAAAAATGTTTGGTTTTCTTTTGAACAGATTTGAGAAAGATCTTTACACCATGATTGGACGCAAGCCAAACTGGTATTGGAAAATTATGTGGGCTTTTGTTAGTCCACTGCTCATTATAAGCCTATTTATTTTTTACCTCACCGACTATATCCTCACAGGAACGCTGCAATACCAAGCATGGGATGCCACACAGGTAATAAGAGTTTTGGGTTTGGGCTTTTTTTCTGTTTTCAACTCTCCTTAGTTCCTGCAAGGATACAAACTTTCTTCCTAACCACACTGTTCCACACAATACCCTGCTGAAAGAGAGCAGCTGGAGTCAGGGGCATCCCTTGATTTTTCCTTTGTGGAAAGAAAACCACAAAACACTTGACTTAGTGATGATGCAATGATTCCATAAAATCAACTAATTTCCCTCTATTCTTAATCAATCCTTCATAGAATTAAATTTCATTCATGTTGAAGACCCAAACCCCCTACTTTCAAACTGCATTTACTTTGAACAAAATTAGTGGTACTTTACCGGAACTGAGCTGCTGCTGGAAAAAATAGTTTTCATAATTTCCATATACATTTTTCTTCATGGCCAGAGCACTTGCTTAATACTGGACTGTGCATTTAACACAGAGCAATTATTACTGGATAAGTAGTCACTGGTTTCATAACCTTTTGCGGAAATGTTTCCATCATGCAGGAACAAAGCACATAATTGTTTTCATGTCATGGCCAATCTGGGACTCATGGTGGGCCTGGCCTGTTGACTGGGTGTCAGCATGAGCCCACAGGCTGCAGGAGGGGAACAGAGACCTGACAGAGGTCAGGGCCCAGTCACCTCATTAAGAAACACAAATCAAGCCAAAACCTGCTCTTTACCAAAGCTTGCTGAAGTTTCCCTGTATCCTGTTGTCAGCAGCTCTGCTCTTGTCAGTTTTCAGTGTGTATGATTTGACAGAGAACCGAGGGCAGCTGTGGGCTGCCACAGACTGAAAATGCTTCTCAGAGGTGCTGCTTAGTTCCATGCACACCACTTTGCTCCTGGCCCGACTCTGGGACAGATCCCACAGATCCAACACTGCTTTTCTCCCTTGCAGGGGCAGCTGGTGACCAAGGATTACCCAGGCTATGCTCTGGCGGTGATCGGGCTGCTGGTGGCAGCATCCACCATGTGCATACCCCTGGGAGCACTAGTGACTTTTATAAGGAAGAGACTGAAGAGGGAACGAGTTTCAACTGTTGCATGAAAGCTGACAGCTGGACTTGGGAAGACCTTACCCCTGTCACCAGTGACTGGGCACTTCTGGAAGACAGCAGCAACCATTATTTGTAGCAGCTATTTATAGAGTTGAGAATGGTGGGTGCTATATTGACCAAAAAGTGCTCTTGGGAGGTTCCACAATGGTTTGGGGAAAAAAAGCTCTTCTGTAACAAGATGAAGCTTTAAAGTGGCCTCTGTGAAAGAGGTGAGAAGGAGAAGAGCAGCTCACAAAATGCCAGCTAGCACAAATTAACCAGCACATCAGCCCATTACACAAGATTAGGCGATTCTTTTCCACTGCTGTAGCACTGCCTCTGTGGAAGCATGAACAACCAAGCATGTTCCTGCACCAACTACCAGCAAATACCCCCAAACCCTTCAAGACACTTCAGCATACTCATTGTTTGAAGTGACATCTGCATTTCATCAACAGGTGAAACTGTTTAAGTCTGGCAATGAGAATGTGACAATTGCTTTCCTACATGGGAATAAATCAGCAGGATGGCATTGGGAGATAAATGCGGCCAACACAGCTTCTTTTGTATTTGTGTCCAGCAAAGCAGTGAATATATATATTTATATATGAATATATCTATATATATGCACATGTGTGTGAGCTGCACAAGTTCTCCCACCTCCAGAAGAAAGCTTCCAATTCCAGTATACATCTGTGCACTGTGCTGTACTTTGTATTTTCTAGGGACGTACTTGAAGTACACTAAGAAGATATCTGTGATAAAGCTGCTTTACGAGCCCCACCCAAACAAAAGTATGCCATATAATTAGCTTTGACAAAGTTTATATCCAGGTATTCTTTAATCATCAGATGTAACAATCCAGCAGTTCTATGGACCTGGTTAATTTCCCTGTGTAAATGTTTTATAAAGAAAGCAACATGTTTAAATTGCAAGCTTCATGTAATAGAAAACATTAAAATTTTATCTATGAACTTTAGAAAAGAACAGTATTAGAGACACACTCACGGGACAGGGGTTCTTAACACAGTATCTTAACTATGTAACCATTAGAAGATGGCAAGTGCCTTAGAGAAGAGGGATTAATTTCAAACATTGTTAAAGCACAACACAAGTCTCTTGTTCTGGGGCAAAAAGCAAGAGGAATTGTACAGCCTCCAGGGGTGGCCAAAATCTCAACAATGACAACGAAGATCCATGTAGTCCAACAGCCCCAGAAACAGCACACTGCCTCCCTCCCCAGGCTTTGCTAACAAAGGAAAGACACCTTTTCACATTTCAGTTTATTAAAAATGGATACCATAAACAAGACCTGTACAAAAAATAGCCTGCATTGCCCAGAATTTGGTAAGAGTTGCATGATGAGAAGTTATCGTCTTGGGCCTCCTCTTCCTCTTCCACGACCTCGGCCTCTGCCACGGCCTCTGCCACGGCCTCTTCCAGCAACTTGGCAGATAAAAGGAAAAGCGTAAATCAAGTGAGACCCAGGAATACTTTCATTTTGGTTAAAACATTCTGTATTGAGTCTAATCACACTCCTTTCCTGTGATAAGACATTAAGTTAGGCATTAAGTCTGTCAATGCTCCTTAGGTTTCAGGCAATATTTATGTCTTTTGTGTTAGTTCTTCCAGTATACAACTTCCAAGACTACTGTCCTTGGTTTCACTGCAGAAAACAAGGGCATAAAACTGTTGGCTGCTCCCAAATGATTGGGTAATCTTTCAGGAACCCCATATATACATATACACAGTCTAGTTTTTCAGAGAGAAATGACATGATATTTTGACATGCTGCGAAATTCCCAAACCCATCATATAGAAGGTCAGCATTTTGAAAGGATCCCAGCATCCAACAGCTCCTACTGGTCTCAGTGATGCCTCTGCCAATTGAAGATGTGGTTCCAAAGCAAAGGTCTTGACTGTGTGCTGCCAGTTTTAATTACTGGTATTTAATTGTAAACAGAAGACAGAATCATAGGACAGTGCAGGCCACAAGCAACTGCTGAATAATGATCCATAAGATGATAATGTGCCTTCACATCTTTCTCAAAGAAATGTGACTCACCAGGTTGCAAGGACACTCTACAAACTTTAGATTATTGGTTCATTTCAAAGATGTTTGTGAATGCAGGGCTCATATACTGAAAATTCTGCAGAAGTGGATGGCTCTCTAGGACATACCCACCAGCACCCACATTCAAGGAGCAGGCTGTGACAATTACTCTGGGACAGAGGTTAGAAATGCAAAAGACATAAGGAGCAGAGACACAGGACAAATTTGACATAAGCAAGGTGTCATATATTGCTGGTGATACACCAACCCTGTAAAATCCATGGAAGCATGAACCTCAGCTGGAAGATGACAGCACTAGCAGCAGTGCTCACCAAGTGCCAGCACGCTTGGACCCAAGGCACACACACCCCAGAGCCAGCATTCTGCCCTTTCCTGACCACTTGCCAAGGACAGGGCAAGGGTTTTACATTTCTGAAACCAAGGGAATTTATGGATTAAGGCAAAGCACAGCACAGCTTAGGTCTGAGGGGGCTTCCGCACACTGTGGATGCAGGGAGCATCAAACCAAGGTAACTGGAGCTATCATGGCTGCTTTCCCCAAAGCTGACACCAAGCAGGGCTGTTCTTGCTCACACATCATGAGGTTCAGGAAAAAAAGCAATCCAACCACACTCACTTCTCTGTGTGGTCAGATTGTTTTTAATGAACTTGAGAGGAGCAAAGCCCATTTGGGAGCTTTGTCCTCATTCCCTATCAAGGCAGCAGCCGCAGCGCTCGCGCTTGGTGCTGCACAGCCAAGGTTCTTCACCAATGCAGAACACCCTGCACACTCACATACTTCAACACTAATTACAGGAGAAATGGTACAACATGATTTTAAAGCACAGTTAGCTTTCACTTACAGCTCACTGTTTTAAAAACACACAGACTAACTGGTGGGCAAAATATATACTGCTGCTGATTTCCTGGGGTTTACTGGAGACTCATCTTTAGTAGTGTGGATTAAACTTGAGTTACTGTCTATGCTGTTAGGCTTCTAAGGAAAAGGAGTTTTATTCAGCAGCACTTTGAAAAGAAAGTTCCAGGAAGAGTAAAAGAGCAGAGACTGGAACACTACTGGGAGCCAAAGCTGGAGATGCGCTCACTGGAATACAGCCTCTATTCCCTCAGGTTCCTAAGTCTCTCAAGATTCAGAGATACCATTTTCACCCCCCACCAAATTTCAGTGAACCATTCAGCACCATTTGAGATGCTGTCCTGTACTTATTATCTGTGTGAAGCTCCTCAAACAAACTAGGGAAACAGACACCTGGAGAAGAGGAAGTGTAAATTTCTTTGGGTGCCAACTGTAAGACTCAGATAGGTTAAGACTTACTCAAGCTGATAAACATTTACATTTTTAAAAACAGATGCACAAAAAGCCGTAACACAACTTCACGTGAATGAAGCTCTGCAGATGCCAAGGAGGTGGGCAAGGCAGACTGAGCCAGTGCTGTGTCAAACCCTCGATGAAGGAATTTAATGCCAAATGCAGATATTCAGACACTCAAATTAGACATCTTCAGACTCACAGTACTAAAATGCACACAAAGGCAGAACAAACACAGACTGGAAAAGCACAAACTTACCTGCTTCTCTTTTTTTGGACTTGACTTTTGGTTCAACGTCCACTAGCAAAGTATCCAGAGGCAAACTGTCTGGCAGAATGAAGTAGCGGATGTTGTTCCCTCGAATACTCAGTGTCTCCAGCTGCACGGGCTCTCTGTTCTTCAGTGTCATTTTCACTGCTTTGAGATGTGTGTTCATACTGACATCCACTCCTGAAACAACACAAGCCTGATTTCAGGGATGAGGTCTCTTGTTACCCGTTTTTAAGTATGCACATGAAATGAGATTTATCCTGTTCATCAAGACCTGCTTCTACCACTCATGAATTACTTCAGCCTGTCACAGAATACAACCACATCTCTTTTCTCTCTTGAATTATGCCAGTTACCATGAGAGGCCTTTAGCTCCTCATGGTTAGAGATCTTTATCCAGGTCCTGACAATAGCTGCTTTGTAAATGGTTAAAACAACTCCTCTGAACAACAACTAAACTACTGCTTCTTACAAAAGGCTAATACCAATCTGTAGTCCTTTAAAAGAAGTAAAACAAACCTTGCAGGAGGAAAAATAACCTGGATCATTTCCTTTTTCTGTAAGCCTTAGGAAAATTCAACCACAAAAGCAACATTTACTCTCTGATAAAATTCACTGAACACCAGAATGAATTTTCTATATAAATATATAAAATACCCCACTGCAAGGAACACTGTGGTTACAAACTCTGAGAACAGTGAGTACGTAATAATTGTATGGAATCAGTACTGTGCACACTACATTGTTTTATGCATAATCCCAAACTGGAAAAAACATCTCAGTTGTACACATGTACTGTGTAACAACTGTGACAATCAATTAAAAAAAAAACCCAGAAGTTTTTATTTTGCATATCTAGAGCTTTAGGTGGGATGTGATCCCCAGTTATGAAGATCAAAATGACAGTGTCTTTATTCTTCTGTCCTCTCCCACTCCCTCTGGATTTTACACAGCTCCACCCGACCCAGTCCCTTGGTTGGTATGAGGGGCATTACACAAAAACTGCCCCTTCATCCCTGCTCCTGCCCTAGCACGGGGAGGAAGAGGAGATTGTGCAATGTTTTTACAGATTCTTAGCAGAAAATGAGAGGCCTTGCTCGACAATTAAGCCTGAAAGAGCAGTAAGGTCAGGAGCCCAGCAGTGTGCTTGCTTCCCACCTGGCTGGGTTCAGCAGAGCGTGCTGCAATCGGGCACCGAGGTGGCTCAGTCAGCTTTAATCAAAGCTGATGGACCTGGCTGCAAAATAATGCCAGTTTTGAACTCTGCCAAATACCCACAGATTGCTACTGGTCAAAAAAGCACCTCAGGAATCCTCTGGAATAAAATTCAACCTTAACAAAAGTGGTATCTTTTTTTTTTTTCTCCAAGAATGCCTGGGCAGAAGAGCTTCTGAAAGCTGCCTGGGGCTGAATTTGGGAAGGGAAATGCAGCAGCTTCCTCAGCTCAGCTGTGAGGATTTGCCTCATTAAACACAATGCTAAGTACAGCTCACAGGAACACACTCAGAACAATGTCCCTCACTGAAGTTATTAAAGCAAATAAAATAGCTTGCACATGTTTTAATAGGTGACAACCACATAATGAACCTACAGAATTCCCTGCAACTTTCAGCTTGGCTTTCAGCTCTGAAAGAAGCACCTGGCAATCAGGCACTCCCAGAACCGACAGGCCAGACCTCTGGCAACAGGGCGGGAGCAGATTCTCTTGGCCAGGATTCCTCTTTGCCCTGTATCCCACACGCAGCTCTGCGTTTTCAAACCCGCCTCTCATGAAATCAAACTTATGCAAATATGCATTTCCATCTAGATTCGCCTTAACGAAAACCACGCTCAACAGAAATAATTAACTTTATTTTTTCGATTAGAACTGCCTACATGCAAAATTTAACCAATTTAAGACCACATCCGATGTCCAGAGAAGCTGTGGATGCCCCATCCCTGGCAGTGTTCTAGGCCAGACTGGATGGGGCTTTGAGCAACCTGGTCCAGTGGAAGGTGTCCTTGTGCATGGCAAAGGGT